TCAAGCCTGGGATAAATACTACTTGTTATGATGAATAATACTTTTAATATACCATTGGATTTGATTTGATTTTGTTGAGGATTTTACATTTATTTCAAAGAGATGTTGGTCTTTATTTTTCTTTTTCCGTGATATATTTCCTGCTTGGTAATTTTGGCCTCAGAGAGCAAATAAGGAAATGTTCCCTCCTCTTGTATTTTTCATAAGAGTTTGAGAAGAATCGATGTTAATTCTTTAAAAGTTTAGCAGAGTTCATGGTGAAGCCGTCTAGGTCAGAGCTTTTCTTTGTTGGAGGTTTTGATTGCTAATTCAACCTCTTGTTATAGGTTTTGAAATTTTCTATTTCAACTTGAATCAGTTACTTTGTTTCAAGAAATTTTTCCATTTCATCTAAATTGTATAATTGGTTGATATATAGTTGTTACACTTGTTATTTAATGCTTCTTTTATTAAGCACCTTTTATTTGTTAAGATATCCCCCGTGTGTGTATTCCCTTTTAACTCTTATAACAACTTTAAGATACATGTGGTAATAAGTGGTATTGTCTCTATTTCATTAGGAGAAAAGAAACTAAAATCCAAAAATGTTAACTTTTCCAAGGACTTAACATCTAGGAAATAGCGGAGACAGAATTCAGACTAAAGTTCTCCAATTTGATATTTCATACTCTTGGGAACATGGTTTCAGAATATCTGACACTTTTTGCTATAAAAATGTGATTTTTATCTGTAAGTTTATCTAAATGACATACAGCCAGCCATTCCTCTCTTCCAGAGTATTTCAAAGTGGAGGTATGTAACTACTATTGGAATATTTGATTAATTAAATCTATCTACTTGCAGTGAAAGTATTATTGGAATTCTTTGATTAGCACCCTCAGTTTTAAATGAGTGTTGAGGTCCAGAAAGAAGAGACTTAGTTTTATGAACATCAGGCATTATTCTGTGTCCTCTTCCTATATGGAGGCCATATCATTGATGAGCTCTCATTAAGGCATGTACTTTGAGTTGTTTTTGTTTGTTTTTTCAGCTGATATCTTATAATGGGGGTGAATTTATATCAGTTCATTCATATTCACTTATTTAATTGCCATTGTGACAAATTCCATAGATATTCAAAAGTCTGAATGAAGCTATGAAATGAATGAAGGAATTAAGATAGATCCCTGGTTCTGAGTCTCTTCAAAGGTATGCAAAACAATGCTGATGAACTTAGAAAAAATCCTGGGATCAAGAATCTTTTCATCATTGATTTTCTCCAATGAATAGAAAAGTACAAATTTAGCCACAGAAATAAGAGCATGGTGATCTCAGAAATATACATCCTAATCCTTTCTAATTTTTTTATCCATTTGTCTTCAGAACAAATTGAAGGTTCTGTTTTTTGAAGTTTTGCTGCAGTGTTATGTTGTACAAAGATATATTCAGACTTATGATATTACCTCAGAGTACGAAGGAGTTGTAATAGTTTGCTATACTGAATACATCCCTCTAGGCAAGACCCATGCAAAATGATATATCCAAGTTTGTATCAGTAGTTGTGATTCAGGTATTTTCACATTGTACCAAGAATGGCAATAGCTCTTAAAAGTGGGGTGCTAGGTGGGCAACTTGTCATCATCCTATGATGCCATCACAATAATTTGTGAGACAGAGATGGATAGCACATTTGGAGGGTGGAATATGAGGTATGAGGCAGGATTCCCATTTAAGTGCAGTTACTGAGGAATTCATGAGTCCTGTCTCTTTGTTCTGTGCTCTTGTTTTGTTTTATCTTGTCTTCTTTTGTTTTCTCTTATACTCCTCACAATATCTCTAAATGACTTCTGCAATGTATTACTATCTGAAATTAATATCTCAAGATACTACAAGTCTCTGATCATTTGTTTTTCTGAAGTATGAAAGTGAATGGACAGAATTTTACCCATAGGATTTTTTGCTCTTTAAAAAACAGAATTTATATCTGAATTACACACATTAGGAGTTTTCTTCTGGGAGGTACCCTGAGTCTAATGGGTCCTAGGTTCTTCGTATAAGCTTTCTTTCCTCTGTCATTAAGTCCTACTAACTTTTGGCTTCATTTCTGTACTCCAAAATTTTAAGAATTTACTTCTTCTCTTTTAGGGACTCTTGCTGTGGAGCTGCTTTGATTCCAAAAGAATGTTGCCTATTCTAACAAGTAAAATTAATGTCAAGCAAATTTTCCATAGGCCTTTAATCCTGTTTTTGTATTTGGTCTGTAACCTTCAGATAAAAAGTCAACTGGAATATCTAAAAGCCTGGAAAGTTGAATTTACAGAATGGATATTATTTCTCGTATTTATGGTATTTGGAGGTTGTCTTCTTATACTAGAGGTAGCAAGGGCCAGATTACCATAGCGCCTAAAGTCAACCTGTTCCAACAGGCTTCATCTTTCTTTGTGCAAATTTTAAAAGAATAGGTCCTCACGCAAGCATTTCAAATCCAGAGACAAATTTGAAAAAAAAAAATTGCTGCAACATGTTGACTGATTCTTTGCCAAGTCAACCACTGAGAACTTTTTTCAATCAACTCTTACACAGAGAAAATTAGAGGTGGTAGGAGGAAGCGCATGAAACTTCATTATTAAAAACAAAACAAAACAAATAACAAAAAAAACTAAACGTACATTACCCTAAGTCACTCCCCCTCTGAGATTTTTCTCTCCCATTTTCAACCCTCATCTCCCTCTCCTGCCTTTTCCTTTTTTCCCTCTCTTCTAATCATCTTCTGTGACATACTCTGCTGCTCTAATGTGATCATTTTTACTTTTATTATTGATACAATGATATGTGCCAGAGGAATAGCTTTCTAAAGATCTATTCAGATAGGCAGATTCAAACCCGCAGAAAGGTTAAAAATGTTTTTAAAATATGCTTGTCAACAGTGGGAAGAAAGCTGTTTGTAGCTAGCAGGTGAGCTGGAGAGTACTACAGGGTGTGGTAGAGATAGTAATAAATTAACCGGCAAGCCAAAAACTATATTAAAAAAATCAGCTATTTCATAGCATAGAAGCATGACAGCTATGAAAAAAGGAGTGCCCCGGGGAATTCTTTTAGAGTTTGATTTTTTTAAATATGTTTGACATGAAAAATGTTTTAGTACAAATAAAGCAACTGGTATTAAACTTTACAGGGAGGGGGGTTGTGGTTTAGAGTTATTATGAATAATGCATGATATTTAAAGAAAGAACAGCTCTAAAATGTTCTGGAAGGCAGTCCATGTTGATGGTTGGAATGGTGAGTTTTTTCCCCCTATTTTTGAAACATCATTAATTCAGCATCGTTTTGTGATTTTTTTTAACTTGGTATGATATCAACCAAGGAAATACTATTTGACTTAGATTAGGATTTTTTTTTCTTCAGATAGTTTAGTTTAAATATCAAGAAGATCAGTAGAATTATTTAAGCATAAAGTGACAGTCATTTACTATAAAAAATAATTTGGCCTAGTTATCTTTTTTAAAAAGCTCATATAGTACTGCAAACTAAAATCAACCTCATGGAAGGGGAAAAACAAGATCAGATATTTTGAACATTACTCCATAGGAGATCAGCACAATGTAGTGTTAGTGAATGCATTGTAGCGGCACTCCATATGCAATCAGAAGCCAATTGTTACTGGACTGTGTACAGGCACACACTGTGCTCAATGGTCTGATGAGGTATTATGGATATGATGCAAAGAGACTGTGTAGATTAGAAGCTAACAATTTGTTAAAAGTGAAAGCGACTTAACATTTACATTGGGCCAGCTGAGTAGCACTTCATGTGGCAAGGGGATGAGTTCCAAGAAACCAGGGACACTGGGAAGGCTCCAGGTATTAGTGTCCATGTAGAAAAAAAAAAAAAAGGTTTTATTGCTTTCAGTTGACTACCTTTGTTACTGTGATTCTTTATATAATGTCTCTTCATTATTACATTCAGCTTTCGGTGTAGAAAAGTTCATGCAAAATAGCATAATTATAAATGTCAAAAATGTGTGGAGGAACAGCCTATTAAAATATAGCCTAGAGATAGTACATAACACTGACTTTAAATAAGTAGTGAAGCCAAAGTGACACTACATTTAATCATTGGAATTGTGTAATTTATCCACAAATATTAATTTTTAGTTCAGTTACCATTGTCACAGTATGTTCTTCATCACTCCTTCTTGGCTTTTGGATTATTGGCCACATCCTCAGTTCTTAGGTCACAAAAAGTACTTAGGTCCTCTATTTAGAATGGCTGGAGTTACAAACACATTGAAATGTGACATTGATCTTAGCTAAAACATGCTCAATCTCTACCAGGCTTTTAGTGTAGATATCCCGTGTAAAATGGTGGTTATTTAATAAAATCATTATCAAAGAGTGTTTAATCAGTGCTTTATATGCATGATTTTTGTACTTGTTTCCACTAGTACAGTAATAGAGATTAAACCAAACACACACACACACACAACATATATATATATATTTAAAATATTTATATATATGTAAAATATTCAAGAGGTTATATTTTAAAAATATTTTCTTATAAAATAAAGTTGAGAATTATGGCCAGTCAATAACTGATAGTGGTTTTTGGACTCTAATTCTCTGTGTTGCCTACCAAGCCAAAACTTTTTGTTGTTCTAATAGAAAAGCTTCAGTGGTTTCACAGTGTACTAAGTGTCAGCCTGGCTTTAAGATATTTTTTTTACTCTTAAAAAAAATGATGTATTACAAGATTTGTAATGGAGAGAACATGCTTGAATTGCACATTAAATTTTTTTAACATCACATTCATGTTTTGCCAGTTTGCCTACCAGCTATCTGTTAACAAAAAGTTCCAAGGCAGCACTGCAAGTCTGTGCCCAACTAAGCCTTTTGTTTCTGCAGATGTTTGGGCTTAGAGCGATGTTGTAGAGCTCAGGCAATCCAAGGACCATGTTTGTACTTGTCTGCTGCTATTCCCTATGCATTGTCTAAACCTGTATGCATTGTTCTTTCCGACAGGTGATAACTACCCCGTACAGTTCATTCCATCAACAATGGCAGCTGCTGCTGCTTCTGGACTCAGCCCTTTACAGCTCCAGGTAAGTGCCAGAAAAAAAAAAAAAAAAAGTGGGATATGAGCCAGTATGTTAGTGGAAAACTGCTAACCAGCTGTATGCTAAATAATGGCCTGAATGTTAAATAATTTTTTAAGCATAGCCCAGAAGAATTAACACCTTATGTACTTATCATACTGCAAATAAAAGAAAATCACCAGTTTCACTATTTTTAAAGGAAAAATGATGTTATGACTTAGTACTATGTATTCTCTGTCATATGAGTTCATAGTTTTATAATTTTATGGCTAGTACTTATTGGATATGTTAGGGTTTTTTTTTTTCTTATTGACTTTTCATCTGTGTCTTTATTATATCTATATTAGCTTTTACACAGAAGCATCAAAACAGAATAGTGTTGGATATTTTAATTCTTGTGGCTCATAGAATAAGGAGTTGTTATTCCCAAATTGATAATTATTTGGTAAAATGTAAACACATTGCTTGCAAATATATATATCCTTATCTTTTGAGGGTCAAAAAGTCTAGGCATGGTGTCTGATCAAGTTCTCCATTAGTGTTCTTTATATGTAAAGCCAAACTTGGGGAGAAAGTGTATCTTAGAAGCTAAGAGAACATTTATTTGTACGTTATCTTATTTATGGTAAAGAATAGAATCTGGAATAGGACTAGGTATCCTTTATACTGTTTTAGTTCTATTATTTGAATGGGAAATTGACTTGAATATGGATGAATATTTTAATTAATAAAAATAATAAGATCATTAAAATAAAAGTCAATATTTGGTATTTGAATATTTAGAAAAATGACAGTAACTTAAGTTTCCATACAGTTGAAAGTTCCTTAAGGACAGTTTTTATTTATAAAACTTACCGTGATTCTTATTTAGTTCTAGGGAACACCATCTGACCAGGCATATTTATTTTTATGTTGCTAATCCCTATATAGCTTGAAGATAAAATCTGTGCTGCTATCATACCACAAGAAAAGGAAGAAAAAAATTACTTTGACTATTGTCAATTGGGCCTGCAAAGAAATAATTTTTTCAATACTTGAAAAGTTTTTTCATAAGCCTCATCCAGGAAGCATAAAGGTATTCCCCATTATGGGCTGCCTAGCAGAACCAGACATTTTGCCTAACAGAACAGTAACCCCACCTTTTTTGCAAATTCATCTTCTACACTAATACTAGAACCTATAGCAGCTGGTAAAAATCTAAAAAGAATCCTCTCTAGTGGTAATTCTAATCTATTTTTCCTTTTCTTAGACCTGTGCTATGGAGTATCTTCTTGATTTAGAGGCAGGAATAAAAAACAAGTACTACAGTTTGATCATATAACCAAGTTCCTGTAAACCACAGAGAGGCTGGGTCTTAAACCTTCTACTTTTCATTCTTTGATCGTCAATACCCTAGATTTAGAAATATGTGTTGTTTCATGAGTTCTGACAGTATGTTTTGTCTTTTGTTTTGTTTTGTTTTTTTCTGAATATGCTACTAAACAGAAGGGTCATGTCTCCCACCCACAAATTAACCCAAGGCTAAAGGGCCTAAGTGACCGTTTTGGCAGGAATTTGGACACCTTTGAACATGGTGGTGGCCACTCTTACAACCACAAACAGATTGAGGTATGAATGCTTCCCTTGGTGCTTCATTGGGTGGGGGACTGGATTGTTTAGTCATATTCTAGGCTTTTTAAAAAGTGGCAAACCCTCAGAGTTTTAGTGGTAAACACTAAACCCTAGTCTTTCACTTTTCTTCATTTCTAAAGAGGCTTTTCTCTTGTTGATTTTCTTTCAGAGAAAAAGGCAAAACCCAAACCAATGCTCTTGAATTAGGTTGTTTATTGCTATGTATATTCAGGCAAATTTTTCACATTATGAGTGTCTTCAAAATCATCCTTTTTCTCCCCTCACTTTTTAACTTTTTCTTTAGTATGGTGTTATACAGTGTTTAAGAAATACTTAAACATTTTTTTAAATTCCATTTGATCACTTAATAACCCTGTCAACCTGATAAAATATAATTCTGCTTGTATAGATGAAATAGCTGAGGTTCAGAGAGGTCAAGTGATTTAACCTAACTATAAAATATTCATTATATTCATTGAGTTAGAATTCTTGTCCAGGATTTCTAGCTTTTCCTGATTTAGGTTTTTTAACAAATTTTTTTCAAGATGAAGTTGGGTATCTGGGCCTGTCTGGTAGTGTTTTGCCCCATAAACTTATGCAATGTTCTTTCATATTTAACCTTCTGGTAAAGCTTCTGTTGTTTTTGTGGGCTAAGTCCTTTTCTGCTATAGAGATCTAGTCTTCCTTGCTCTAATTTCATACTAAATTCCTCTCCTGTATCATTGGAGTTCTTCTTTAGGACTATCAGATGTTGGAAGGTTGCCAGCTATCTGTTGACTACCAAAAAAAAAATGGAAACAGGTTACCCTAGACTTGAAGTACACTTTCATTTTCTGGGTGCGATTTAATACCAAATTTTACCTTCCAACCTAGGATGGGAAACTTAACCCCCACTCCCCAAAAGAAAATAATCCTTTGACATTTTCTTTTCTGTTGCTTTGTATCTGTCTTTTTGGAAAATCATAAGGAGTGATCACTCCTTAGAAGGAAGAGAACAAGATCAAAGGGCACCTTAGAAGTCGCCTAAGGAAGAGTCCCAGAGCTTGTTGCCTGCCTCCCTTTTCCCTTTCACTTTGATATGAGAGGGAGATAGGGGGTTTCCACTCAGACATGACTAGACATGTACTGACAGAGTATCTGCTGTCTTCTACTCAGCCAGAAGACATTCCTTTTCTAAGGCTTTCTCCTGGCTATAGAAAGGGTGCCATATTTCAGAGCATTTTGAGAATCTACTATAACTAGAAGAGATAAAGGAAGATAACTGGATATTAGGCACTAGCTCTTCTGTGTGATGACAGTTTGCAACCTTATCCAATCAGGACAGTCAGTGTGAGGAGCTTTTAAGTGCTCTGAAGATTGTGAAAGCAGGTGGCCTTGGTTCAAACTCAAAACTACCTAATCTCTTCTTTTCCCTAATTTTTTCGCTTTATTGGTTTTCCCCCCACCCCTGCTATCACTGACCCCTGATGTGTCAAATCTGGCTTCTGTTGGGTTTCTGGAAATCATGATGTTATACATGTGAGTGCCAGGCTGCACAGTACCATAGCAATGCCTATGTATGAGTACAGCAGATGCCACATGTCTTGTTACTTTCATTACGCTAAATAAGGAGCCCATGAATGCAAGAGCCTTCTTAACTTTGCAGTTTATATTTGGCTGGGTTGAGAGTTTCCTGGGTTTTTGTTTATTTTTGCTCTGTTCTCTTGCCTCCATTTTCTGCACCTTTTTCCTGCATGTCAGGAAACCTTTGATCTGTTTATTTGTATGGTACATTAGTAGGAAAAGATTGACCTTGTTTGAAAGTCAGGTTTCCCCAGCTTCCTGATAGAGTGTGGCATGTTTAATAGTACATCTACACAGTAGATGCCTATATCTATGCTGCTAGACAAAGAGCAAAGGTAGTAGGAAATTTTATAATATGTTGCTTTATTGCTATTCTTTTTGGCTGGGATTGTGGCTCAGTGGTAAAGCGCTTGCCTACTGCACGTGGGACCTGGGTTCGATTCTCAGCACCACATAAAAATAAAGGCATTGTGTTGTGTCCATCTACAAAAAAAAAAAAAAAAAAATTCATTCTCTCTCTCTCTCTCTCTTAAAAAACAAAACAAAACAAAAAAACAACAACAAAACTCTTCTTTCTTTGCTAGCTAAGGTTTTCTCCCCTCCTTTGACAAGATACAATGTCAGCTCTGTCAACAATAATGATCATGATAAACTTGATAATAAGGAAGTATTACAATTATGTTGACTGGTTTTACTTATACAAAGAGATTCTTCAGGAAAAAAACCATATTGCTTAGCTCAGAATTGGTCTTCTCTGTCTAATGTTACAGTTAATTTGTCCTTTAAGAGTTGTCATTTCTAATATTAATGAGCCTGGATAAATCTGAGCATGTACAGTTATACCCTAGAAGCCTGAAATTTTGTATCAGGTAGAAAAATATAAAAATGTAAAGACCCTTCTTTCATTAACATACTCCAGTCTGTCTTTCTTTAAATCATGAAGAAACAGGAAGGACCATTTTTTTACACAATTGTGCTGATCTAAGGCATGGTTTTTTCTGCCTCAGGGGCACAATATGAGGGGAGAGAAGGCCAAAGAATGCTATTTTTAGTTGAACAGTTCAGCAGATGGAGTCGTGAATACTCATATATCTGAAGGTTGAGGGGCTTGAACCATTAATTTTGATAATGTATTTAACCCTGGGAACAATCAGAAACTGTAACTCTAAGGTTACAATGCTTTTGACCTTTAGAGAACAGAGGGCACTTGCTACAGTAAACAATATATTATATTGCTACTTATTCCAATTGTCTCACCCGTATAAATTTCAGGACCAGTTGCCATTTGCTTTCCTCAGCTATGTTAGCATTGGTCCTTAAGTAAGTCAAAAAGAATGTTAAGAAACCGGGACCAGTATAATGAGGCAGTCATGTAAATATGGCCTTTAAATAGCTATGATGTTAGATTGCTTATGAAAAAAAAATTATCAGGAAACAAGCTCCGAATGACTTTTTTTTAATAAAAAGGTAGTTTAAGTGTATTGATTCATATTATGTGGCTACTTTCAATATGATAGTTCCTTAATTTTGTTTTGTTTTATTTTTAATTGGAGTAATGTTGTCTCGTAGCTTATATCAAACACAATCTGGTGCCATATGCAGTGATACACCTGTCTCATGCCTTCCTATTAAATGATGCATGCTTCTCTTTAGCAAATACAGCAGTTAAATATCACACAGCTTAAGAATTTCTAATTAAAATATCTCCACATGTCAGCATATTGGTAATGTATTATTTTAATCCATTTATTTTGTTTATGAAACAGTGACATATGTTTAGATTGTGAAATATATGAGCCTTAAAAATCACTTTATTGAAGAAAATTAATTTCTACAATACTGTCTGGGTAACGTGTTCACTCACCCAGCCAGTCACTGGCGGCACTGCCAGTCTTAATGTTGGGTCGACACACTTACCAGACTCATCCATATAACAGCCTTGGAAAGAAGCATAGCAGGTCTTTTTCTTAGCTCCAAATGATAAGATTTTTTTTTCCTGTAGTTTTTTTCCCTTATTTATTAAGTTGAATCTATCCCTCCAAAACACTTTTTGTTTCCCTTTTAAAAAATACAATGAAGGATGGGTCTGAGTATTTGTATAGGAGATTCTGAAAGACCAATCAAAATTAAAACAAGCTAGTTACCTTTTCAAAGTTAGACACAGTAATTTGTTTGTCAGCAGGGAGATGTTTGGGTCAGCTCTGAGATAAAGTGACTGTCAGCAGTTATTCCTCCAAGACAAGTAATTTCACTCAGTGTATTACTGACAGATTGCTCACTTCTCTGAATCACCAGAGAAAACAAACTTAATATTGTTACAGGCAGAGTTTCTGTCTTCATTAGCTCCAGAGAATGATTTTTATTGAGCATTCAAAGCCCACCAAGCTTTAATTGGAACATATTTTAACATACTAGTTCTTATAATGATAGTACAGGTAGTTGCCCAAATGAAGGAATTGTATATGGAAATTCAAAAATATCAATATAAGTATATTTTCACTTTTATTTGATGGACCTTCTCTATGGTTTAGGGGAGATTGAGAGGAGTATAACTAGAACCTTAAGAAAACCTATGAACCATAATTTATGTTATTCTTAAATGAAACAAACTCTAACCAAGTTTGCAGAGATGGAGAACAATTCAAGTTTTTGCAAAAGCAAATACAAGCACATATTTTATTTAAATTGTATTGTCAATTTTTATGCTACAAATAGAAAATGAAGAAGTGCCCATCAGCATAGGGAATGCTCTATTTCTATTTCAGTTCCAGCCTAAATTTTTATGATATTGTATTTAGATGCTCTGCTCTGGCTTGTACCATGTCTTCTCATTTGCAATTGTAAACTTGCCTAGTGCTGTGGAGGAATGGGAGTTAGCTTTACTAGGAGGTTTGGGAGGTTGTGATTTCTAATAGAGAAGAGAGTTGAATAAAGAGTTGATTAGAGTAACCTATTACTGGCTACCCAATGGAGAAGGAGGAATGCACTGATTCAAAGCTTGTTTTGAGGATACCAACCGTGGGGCTGTACTTTGAGGGGAAGCTTGCTTTTTTCCTTAATCAGCCTGCATTCACCCCCTCTGACTCTTTTCTTTACTTTTAGAAGTGTGGTAGAACTTGAGAGAATCATTACACCTAGGATTAAATGAGCTGTGAGCTAAGTGAATCAGTTCCACTTGTGGATTCAGAACCTTGCACTGGAGTTTCCACTAGTGCTTTCCTACTATATTGCCTGGCACATTTTCAAAATGCCTTCTTTTTTAATCTTATTACCTTTTACAATGAGAGGCAAGTCTGATACATTACAGTGTAAGTCATGAAACTCAGGGATTTGTCTCTTTCTTTCATTTTGAGAACCCCAATATTGCAAGCAATACAGTGTTTGGTTAAATGAATGAATTTCATCTTTGTGTTCACCTGGCATTCAAGCTTCTT